TGGGTCTGGGGGGTTCTTGATTCCCTCTGGCCTCATGAACTTTAGGTGAAGATGATATGATCCTCTTTCCTACCCCCACCAGATGGCTGGATATCAGTTCCCAGTGGCATGGGTTTTAAATGTAGTTGATTTGCCGTGTACAATCTGTCACACCCTACCCACTCTACACCTAGGACACATCCTTTTAATTTTACCGACTTTTATATTTTCTGGGATAGAGTTGTATAAATATAATATGGTTTGGATCACTACCCGACCTTAGTTCTCTTCCACTTGGATGTTCTTCTCTGTTTTCCACCCATAAGTGCGACATCTTGTTATGATGGGTGAAGAATATACCTGGCTTAGAAGTGGTGCAGTCCCTCACGTTGGTTCCTAGAATCTGACTGTTTCAATGTGATTCTAGCTATTTATGTGAACGGAGGTAATGTACCGTATTGGAAGTTATAATTTTCCTACACTGAAAATGTATTTCCAATAGGTACTTACCTCCTCCCACCCTTTCTCCCCACTAAAAACCGGTGCTTCCATCTTCTGCCAAAACTCGAATTGATAGTTCAGAAGAATTGAATAGAGGGATTCACATGTGTCATGAGAGTATGTCGCACTGTTCTTGGTGGAGTGTTGATGCATGATGATTTGTATGAGTGATGCCCTGTAATCAGTCAATTACAATGGAGGGAGATAAAAGACTTGTGGCATGTGTAAAATGTTTTTTCATATAGAGGGCAGCACTGAACGAGAATAGCTATTTATGTGAGGGGAGGTAAGTACCTATCGGAAATATATTTTCATTGTAGGAAAATTATAACTTTCAAGGTGCGCCAGTCAAGCTTTACCTTACTACAAACTTTAGTATACTCTGATATTCATTATTCTTTTTATGTCAAAGTATCTTTTATAGCTTCCTAACTCAACATTCATAATATATGTAAGCCCATTCCTAGTTTAGTATAAAAAAAGATACAAATAGGGAGGAATGAGAAAAAAAAAAATAGAAATATTAAATGTGTACTAAAAACCATTTCTCATACTTTTATGTAACATAGATGGTTGTCTGTACAATACTTCTCTGTTTTTAATTAGTTCATTTTTGTATGTCATTTATTATCTTGTTGAATGAAATATTAGTGAGATATAAATATTAGGTTAGAATTAATCTAATGTTTGTTTGGTGAAGTAGAGCACAAAGATTACGACTTGTGAAAAGAGAGGAGGAAGAAAAAGTCATAACATACAAGGCAAATCACGAACTATTTGTAGGCAGTAACAAACTCCTGTCTGCTGTGGAATAATTAGAGCTGGCAATTAGTAGAATTTACTCATTTATTAATTGACAAGCTTGTGATGAAGTTTTCCAACTAAGTCACCCCTTTATTATATCTTATTCATAGCGGGTTTTTTTGTTGGTTTTTTGTCTCTGCTCTGTGTTTTTATGTGAATGATCATTTTCAACAGAAGTAAAAACTCAGGGAAAATAACAACAAATATCTGTTTATATACAACTTACACATACTGCATACAAGCAGGCAAGGTTAGGCTAAACTACAACTGGCTGCCAATTTACAGCCTTTATGTGGGTTCTTATAAAATTCTGATCATATGATGTATCTAAACTGTTAAAGTTACATGAACTTTTTGCATCATTAATTAATTTAGAAGAACATAGCTTAACTAGAAAGGTGATGGAGTTGAATCCTTCATCATTGTATAGGGTCAAATCAGGAGTTGTGTGTCTGTAATTTAAATTACCGCAGTATAAGTCGTTTCATATATATGTTATTGATGAATCAGGGAACATATTTCATACTGTAAAAAAATTTCATTTCAATTTTAAATGAGGTGCAAATGCAACAGGTAATGTGCATACTATCAAACAACTGCTATTCTTCTGCCACATACCCAGAATCAGTCTCATCATATTGGTTTGTGTTCATTTGAGTGAAGTTTGCTATACATCATCCCACCTATTCTTACTTTTCAGGCCAGATTTATAGTGAGGACTTCATATATATATATATATATATATATATATATATATATATACAGAGTATGAT